CGCACGGCAGAGCGGCTAATTCCGGTTGCTTAGGTGCGAGAAGGGAGATCTTTGCAAAAGAAGCGGCGTTGCAAAGGGAGCGGAATTCAAGTGTGCGACGTTCGCAGCAGGACCTAATTGACTTAACGTAAAAGTGCTTCAGGATGTCGAGTCAATTAGCTAGCGAATACTAGCCATTTCCTGCTCGTTTCATTTCCAATTTCGTTTCCTTCGTCTCGCTGCACCGTAGATCCCCTGGCCCACAGAAACGCTAACCGATTTTAGCGTAAGGCAATCTGGGGGTTATTCATGAGTAGGCATAGGAGCCACGATTTTCTTGCAATCGTACCTGCTCCTTGTCTGCCGGTTCGTTTTCGAATTCAACGGCTGCCCGACGGCAGTTCACTTGTCGAGATTTTTCATCGATTGCTACATATTCATTGCCATGTTTCTTTTGAAGTGGGAACTGATATCTGCAAGTAGGAGATGAGAGATCAATAGTGTGTTTCAATGTTTTCTTTCATTTCGTCATACGCTTTGAGATCAGTAACTTATCACTGATAGCGTTTCCAGTCAACTTCCTACAGTATTTCACAGTTCTCGGAGGGTAGGGGGCGGGGTAACAAGAGATACTATTGGTTGAAAATCTGCCTCGTAAGGGCTCCGTCCGCGCCTCCCATTCCCCTTCTAAATTCATTTTCTAAATTCAGTCATCTTCTAAATTCTCCTGGCTCCCTTTGATTTTTCCCCGTTATTCCCTCAGTACAACCACCGTCGAGCGGGAGGGGAGGGGAGGTATGCAGTGCACCTAAAACGGGAGGAAACGAGAAAAGTCCATAGCCGAATACATCCTTCTCACCATCAGGGATAAATACGACCCTTTCTTTATCATGGGTAAATGCATTTCTCTCCCTTCAGCCATCGAAAAGACCGCTTCGGTGGGGATCCCCAACCTACCACGTGCCCTGCTCTTGGCACCGTGTCGTCGCTTCACATCTTTACCCGCTGTACCTTACTGATGGGTTGACGAATTTTTGATTCTCGTCTAAAAGCAATAACAAATGACTGATTGAATTGTTCTCAACAGACGTTTTTCTATAAGTTCGAAAAAAGCTGACGTTCTTGTCAGAAGAATTACCCTGTCTTCCGTAGATCTGTCAACCATTTCTGTACGAGGAGCGCATCATCAGCACCCCAAAATTCGCGTTCACTGAAAAAACGGAAAACTATCGCTATAGCATGGAACGCTAAGCTTCGCTAACGACAGAACAAGTGAGAAATGTCTTTGTGGCGTGACTCGAGGGAACATACACTTTACATCACCGCAATTGTCGGGTCGCAATCAGCGGCTCGCACCTGCGGCGTTTCCATCATTGGTTGCTCCCTCCCTAAATCGATCTTTACCCGATCACCATTGGTAGAGCAACGAGACCGAACGCCCATTTGGACCGCGTTGCACAGTCCGTCCCCGTCCAATAACCGCAGTGATCCAGACCGTCATACTACTTGCTCTGGAAGATGCTGGGGCCCACACTCCGATTGATTTGGCGCTGTCAGCCCCCTTCTCCTCTATTGTGAAGCCTGGCAAAGCGATGCAGTTGTTGGACAAACACAGTCCTCATCATTGGACCGGTGGGGGCGTGTCAGCCAGTACGAGTGTGCACACTGTAGAAGCCGTTCTCAGCCTTGTAGAAAACGAGTAATACGGATGATATAATACAGTCATATCACTCCTGTGCCCGCTTTAAATTTGGTGCCGTGCCAATCGCAGCCGCACTGAACCGCCCCGACAGTACGTAATGATGAGGACTGTAGCCTGAGTCGCAATGAACCCACCCCTGGACACGTTACAGTACCCGCTCTGAGTGGGACTGTATACTGCGACTACCTGAATCGAACAATTCGTTGCTTAATAACCCCATGTGCAGTTGACCTTTGAGGAAAATGCAGTGACCTTTGAGGAAAATAGCTCGTTTGCGCTTTTCCGGTAATCACGGGGTTGAAGAAGGTGAGAAAGCATAAATGATTTTCATTCGAGAGGATCCAGAAAACAGGATTGTCGTGGGACTCATCTGCGCACGACAATGACATTTCCCACCTGATAATCCAGGTCGCGGTATTTAAAGGCCCATTCCGATGCAAAGTAATGGAATCCGAATTTCTAGGTTCTAGTTTATTCCCTGTGCTCGGGAAGGACCCTGCCTTCTAGGTTATCGCAGAATGTGTCGAGGGCACATCCCACGACAGAAACATGAGCCGGATAGCCTTACGATCGTGCTTTCTTCATTGGCGAACCCCTCTCACCGGGGCAGAAAAGGCGGCTCAGCAATGAGCAAGGAAAACGACAATCCCGATTCCGCCTTTACGTTTATAGTGCTTTAAGTAGAAGAGTTTTTCAAAGGGGTTTTTATAGGTCTGGTCTGGTTCATTCGTCATTATGGAGCTACTCGGCGCCCGCTAATTGAAACTGACTACCCCATAAGGGTTACTGCTACCGCTTTTTGTTCCCTTCCCGAATCAGATCACTGATCGATCGCTGTTGGTAAAAACAGAAGGCCCAGACCACGTCTCCTGACCGCCCCGACTGAGTGCTATGTCTGTATGTATAATATCATTTCAGTGCCTTTTCTCTGCGGTCAAGGATACAAAAAAATTGTGGGGCGGGTCTGATTGTTTTCGTTCACCTCAGGGAAACAAGTTGCACCCTGTCGTATTGTGAATATGAAATGCTTACCAAAGTTGCTGTGCAAGCAACGCAGTACATTTGTCCATTTCTGCATGTGTGCAGTTCCATTCATCAAGAAACTCGATGAGCTTTCCTGATTTGAGGTAGACATCCCTGAGGTGACCGGCCTAGACCCATCCCTGAAGTGTTACTTGTTAGAGGTACAGTTCAGAAAACAGTAATCTTCTAGAATTTCGTGCCAAATTTCGATCATTCTGTTCCATTAGAAGCGATAGGGTTTCATCGAATCCTTTTTCTGAAAGTGGCCCACGCAAACAATCGCTTTGGGAAACACCTCACTTCGTACACATTCAACTAATTTTTCAAAATTTCGCCTCGGTTTCTTACGAAACTTTTACTTCACTTTCTTTTGACGCGGGAAATGTGTCCCCTGGTGAGAACCAATTGGTCTTTGAAGGACGAACTGGCACACTGTCCAGCCTCCGTGTCGTCGCTGGCTCGCTCCTCGGCCGATTGGTGATCGGGCCCTCCGAGGACTGCCATTTAGCTGCCATTTCTTCACTCGAAGATGCATGGGAACTGGGTCAAAGGGTATATTACGCTCCGCGCCCCTTCCGACTCCGTCCGCGCTGCCGTGCAGTTAGATACACGCCTAACTATAGCCAAACGCGCTGCTTGCCCGCGTTCTTTCACTACTGATTGTCTTTGTCGTCGAGTTACTTGTTTCATTGCGGTGCCTTGATATCAATGCAAGTGCACCACCTTGAGGATAATGCGGGTGGAGTGTGGAGACGGCGCTCACAAAAAGCGAAGCGTACCTTTCATCCTCGAAATCGGCTAAGTAATCATGAGCGTTTCTGTATTGCACAGCATTGGGTGGATAGAACGCCACTGTCTCTCCGATCATATGCAGAAGCTTTTGGGCTACATATGACCGCCATATGTCCGTCGTACTTAATTAATAATTGACATCACTAGCAGTTCAGGATATGTATATGTGGCAAACCCACCGAAACGTCACTGTTGTAGGCAAGAAAAGCGTGAAAAAGGCTTTCTTATGAAACAAAGTGTTCTGCGAGTTCCATGGTGCGTACGTTCCTGAAATAGTTATAAGGAAGGTATCTAAATTTTTTCACTTTCTAGGCGTTGTTCTGTCCGGGAGAGGCATTTTGCGCATCCGCTCCGCTTCACTTGAAACGATACCGCGAATTAGATACGGGGTCGTACCGAGATTCTCTTTCAAGGGCTGGCGGGCGATTTTAGCAGAAATTTCAAACAACGCGATGTCGTGCCGTGGCCTCATCTAAAATGTCAGAGTCCTTCCGGTTACTCGCCCGGACAACTTTTCCTGCTTTTTTTTTTGTTCTCACTGGTTCAAAAGAGAATCTGCGGACTATAGTTGATGCTCTAACTGGCTAATTTGAGGCATTTCGCGAAAGTAAGGGCTTCCTACAGTGTGGGTGGAGTGTGTCACTTCACATAGTGGGTTTCGCGTGGCAGCCCAAAAATGCGGAAACTTTGAAATAAAGTTGAAGTTGTACAAAACGACATAGATGTGGACGGGAGGAGTCGAACTAGTCATCAGTCAGTCACATCTATCGAAGTTCGTTGTTTGAAGAACGAACTTTGATTGAGCACGTTCCGAATCGCGTGACCCACATGGTGTGTCATGAAATCGTTTCTATGCAGTGTTTTTATTGGATTGGTTTTTCTCTCCTTTCATGTTCCACTGCTGTCAAAACACATCTTCGTTCACGAAAGCATGCTCTATCTTCTTATGAGCGGATGAGAAAAAAGGGAATACTACTGAATTTCTTATGATAAATGATTAAATGATCGGGAGATGCGTTTAGTATGGGGTCCGCAATGAAAAATGAAAACTCGGAATTCACAATAATAGCAATAGCAAGCGCCGTGAAAAGGAAGGATGGAATCGTTGGACCCTCTCATCTCATTGCTATTCGAAGTTCGATGTCTCCAGAAGATTGGAGAGGAGAGGTGCGAACGGGTTGAGAAAGCAGTTGCGCAAAATGCAGTTATCACCGAACACAGTGCTGGACCTGTGTATAGGACCTTCTCATCATACGCCATAGAAGTGTCGATCATCACTAAGGAATCATCGGAAACAGGCGCTTGTAACGAGGCCATGAGGGAGCAACCAGATATGAAGCTTGAAAACACGTCCAAGTCTTCTGTCGTTGAGACGCTGCCACTAACGAGATGCACCGAAATTGTGGTAACCCGCCAGGAACACAAAAGCTATTACAGCTGTTTATGAATTGACAGCAGAATTCAACGTAACAAACGAAGACGATGTGGAATGAGTAATGCGCTTGCACCTTCGGCGAAAACCTACACCTCAACGATTTATGAATAGATGGTGAATTCTTCACGACCTCTGTAGTTGCGTTTGAGTTGCAGTTACCTCCATTTCTTTTCCCGCCGTTCATCTCGCTTCTATATGCAAAGTCATAGATACATGTATCGAGGGAGTCGGATGTGTAAATAAACGTTTATTGCTCGCCCTGACAGAGTATTTTATTGGGCACCAGCGAAAGTGGTGTACCGGCCACTGGAATTACTCAAAGTTCGCTGCTTTTCTTCGCGAGTCCTCTCAGTAGGAACCGGGAGACAAACAAAGGAGTGGTCTCAAAGGTTCTTTGTTGCGTGTCTGCTCTTGAAAAACGAGAAGATAATTTCAAGCTTTTTCAGTGACTTCTTCAATAGATCAAGAAAACCACAGATTTCCTATTCTTTTTCTGTCGGAAAAAGTTTGCTGCGCGAGACAGAGTAATCCCCTGGCCAACCATCCAAATCAAGAATCACTTGTAAAAAAGCTAACCTGCTTCAAGCACTATCGGCGGTGCCATTCTGCTGAATTCCTCGTTAAGACCGTTTCGCTTTGTCAGCATTAAGTAGCCTGATAACAGTTACTGATAGTTGCTCAAGTGAAATTACGCTAGTTGAAGTACTGGGTGTTTTCAAAGAGTAAATATTTTTCTGTAGAGCTTTCTATATATACGTCCACTGGTGTGCAGAACAAAGCCCTTTCACATCGCGAACTTACGTCACACCCCCCCCCCGTGTTCACTTGTGGATACCTGTATACAGCATCGACGTCAGGATCGTTGTGTACGAGACCTTGCTGTACCGCAGCCGTACGCATTTTGTGACATAGGCAGAATTGGTCGCGATCATTGGTATGGTTCTGAAAAGCTTGTGCAAGACACTGGGCTACGAATATATTCGAAATAGTCCTACTGAGCAGCAGAACGCTAATCTCAATCTCGTTTGGAATCACCTGTAAGTATTCCAGGGGAAAGCCTCGTGGCCAAGATCCTGCGTTACCGAAAAATTGATAGGGGTTGAAGAGCTTCTCATTTGATTCCCTGAATGCTTTTGAAGCAACGTCTAATTACGGAGGAGGAAAATGTAAGTGTATATCGAAGAGAAACTGCACACTCACCTTTGAGGACAGACCTTGTCATGTGCGAGGTAAGTGGGTCCGCAGCCGCGGTAGCTTCCCACTTTCTTCGCTCAAGCGCACGGGAATGGGCTAGAGGATCTCGCTACCCGCACGTGCTTTCTCCACTAACCCCACACTGCACTGTCCCTGGCGCAGCCAGTTTTGTCGATTACTAATGGCATCGCAGTAGAAACAATCGCCACTCAGCGGCCTAGAACAACCACAAGTGCAGGAGGCAGAAAATAAGACGCGTGTCGTGCTATGTTCGGGTGGTGTAGCTTCCGTGCGGCATATCACGGCTATTTGGAACAGCTCTTGAATCCGAGGCCGCTGACCTTCAAAAGTTACACGCTTACTGCTCCGACAGGCGACCCTTTTGGCCCTCTTTATATGGCCCCAAGCGGAGCCAGGATCCAGCGGACTTTGAGTGCGCAGTTATATTCTTCCCAAGTTTATTTGGGGTGCGAAATAGAACGAGTAGGACTAACCTAAATACAAAAAGCGCTACTTGACAGTTATTGTCCACGCGAAACCAATCGAAAAGGCTTCGAATGCGAAGCCCAAAATATGTTCTACACACGACTAAGTTCACCACTTTTTTCTATTGCGTAAGATCAACAATAAAATATGCAGACTCAGTTGTCCAGTCGATGCATTGAACTTTCATGTGAAACCTTCATTGAAAAACACATCCCCACGATCATCACCGGATGGACGGGACGAATAGCCGACCGGTCACACTGAAGCCGTAGCCTTGCGTTGCGCATCGCTCACCTTCAGTTACACGACCGAGATGAAGTCCATAAGAAAATATAGATCTTGGAGGAAAATATTGTTGGTCACCTTTACGTTTGCAAACAGACAACTTCGAAAGAAATAGAGTGAGGATCTTCCTGTAATAAACTGGAATCTTCTTGGCGTCCCATGCCATAGGGCTGTTTAATTATTATGTACCATTGAACATGACTCGACGTTGGAGGGGTGTGACCGCTGGGGTTTTAGTATCCGCACTCTGTACGAGCGTTTCAGCTCTGTCGAAAAGCGAAGGTGACGAGTCCAGGGCAGCGTCACCTTCGGATTCAGGTGCCTTCAACGTTTCCCTACTTGCCGCCTGCCCACTCTATCAGCGACAAGCCTCAGTCTTCACAACTGAAAGTTCCGTAGACGCGCCTACCTCAATTGCCAAATTATTTCCAGCAAGGTTCGATATCTTCTTTTGTAAATCTTACCTGCTCTTTTCAGAACGGCAGCCATACCGAAATCCGCTCTGCTCTTCCGAGTAATCAAACTGTTCCAAGCCGAGACCGGAAATCATTAACGATAGCAAAAAGGCATGGATGAGATGAAGAGCGAATTAGTAATCCTTCCATTCTGTAAACCACTAATTTTCTGTGTCGGTTTGTATGTTTGTATGTATGTAGGTTTGTATGTATGTATGTCTGTCCGTCCGCAGATGCCTCACCGGCTTTGAGTTAGTGGGAGGAGAAAACGACCACTAGGAAAACCGCTATCCGATTGGTGCGGATGTATCAATCGTGCGGGGGCAGAGTGGGATGGAACCGAGGAGGGGGGAGGGGGGGGCGCCCAGTGCGTTCTGCTTTCTCCCCTTGCACGTGCTCAGCCGGACCTGAGCATGTGCAAGGGAAGGATGCAGTAGGGAGGGGGAACGGTGAGGGGAGGGAGGCGTAGTGCACGGTTGATTAGGATAGTAGCAGGCAAGGCTGTCCATAATAAAGTAGCATCTAAGATGTTGTTCTGATTGTGATAATACCTTCACCCTATACAAGACAACCATTTAGTACACCCCAAGCCATTGCTCAAGCTGCTCGCGTGGCAACTGGATGTGAGCTCGCGCGTGGGTTGCTCCAACTACTAAATACTATTCGACGAAATAGCGCATTATGGATAGCTAGGTGAAAGAACAAATTCCGTTCCCATCATGAAGTGTGCCTAGCGAAGCGAAGACTGGTGATATACCAATACTAGGCTTTCTGGGATTTTACTTACTGAAGTCATGCAGTGGACCTGAGAGGCGTTTGTGATCATGATCGGTGTTCTTACGCAAACCAGGGGGAGGAGATACTTGAGGTGAGGGGGAGGGTAGTGACCAAAGCCAGAAAAAACCTCTTTTCTACTCGTCTGCCTTTTCGGAGATAGGGTAGATGAAGGAATGCCCGTTGCATTTGCGACTGCGGTTGCCGGGTGCCATGCGCCTCGGCTCTGACCTGCCAAACGGTCGAATAG